GAAGCCAGTAAGTCCTGGGTTCGAGCCCCGCGTGGTGCGGGGTCGTGGATGCGCACCGCTGAGGAGTCCCGTACTAGGACGAAACGGCCGTCCAGTGCTTCCAGGTTTTCAATGGTGGTCTAGCTTCAACTCACTCATGATTTCAATCTGAGATATTAACTATAGTTTGTAAGTCAGTAGTTTTGGTCACTGTTATTATGATAACTCCCTACCAGTGTATAAATTTCAGAAGACTATACAACGTATTATCGTAGAGCACAGATCAAATGACCATGAAGCACAATTGATTGATCACTGCGTGGTGATCAATGTTAGGTGTGTCAAGTCCTTCTTAGTGCAGATCGAATGCGTCGAATCCATCAGGGAGGTGATGCTTCAATTGAGTTAATTTCTGTTGGTATTTCCATTGAAATTCTATCAGTTTTAGTTGATTATATGCACATTTTGTAGAGATTACCTCGATAAAGATTACGACACAAGTTTATGTAGTATAGATAGCATATGGTTAGCAGTAGAATCCAATACTCGTGTTTCATTCTATTTGAGAAGACTCAAGTGGATGTACCTGCATCCGAGATTCAACGTTCACTTCACGAAGATATATTCATCATTAAATTTCAGCACTATTTCACACACTTTAGAACAAAACTTCAATCACTCGGTTCAAAGAAAACTCTACCTATCTGATTACTCATCATATCGGATTCAATATCATCAACACCAAAGTCATTGACCTGGTTGGTATTCAATGGTCAATAATCTTTTCTAACTTCAATCACGTAGAGATGTTGTTCGATTATCACCTAATAATAAAACAGAAATATTTTTCGACATTCAACCTTCTTGACCACATAGATTACACCTTCTAACAAAAAAGACTTTAAGTTGGAAATGAATTTTCTTAAAATCATGTTCAAAATAGATTCTGATGCAAGTTTTAATCCCTTCTGCTAAATTTGATTTTGCAATTATAGAAATGAAGAAATTTTTAATATATTATTGAATAAAATACATAAGCAGAACAAATAACAAATGATTAACCGGTCAAATGTGATGTTATAACAATCAATTATTGTCATCGTAATACATTCAAAATATTCTATGGACAAAGACATTTGGGAATTATCAGCATAGAGTTGCGGAGATTGTTGAACTTAGATTGATATCATGAATGGGTGGATGTTAGACCACCATTAAAAATCTGGGAGCTCTGAACGGCCATTCCGTCCTAGTGTGGGATTCGTCAGAAGTGTGCATGCACGATCCCTCACGCAGGACTCGAACTCAGCACTTTCGGTCTTGCGCGCAAACGCTTAACCTCTTGATCACTGAGCCAGCATCTGGCGTTGTTAATGTCAAACTCCAATCAGTCCACCATTACCTTCAGTGAGTGTCTCACAACAGACACCGCTGAACTCCATTGACCACGGCTTCTCACTGGAACTGCAGGAAATCCATCTTAAAACCACTGTCGGCAGCCGGGTCAGTGGTCTAAAAGGTTAGGCAGATCAAATAGATTCCCTTCTTATTCCCCGAACTGGATGCATGTTATAATATGAATAGTAAACTGTTAGCGAAATAGAAAAGTTACGGTATTTATAGAAAGTAGAATGTTCATTGGATGCTTGAAATACTCTGAGATTATTTTATTGTTCGTACATGCAGGTGGACAAAGGGCAAACTGAATAAATTTCATATCTTTAAACATTTCATTTCCTCTTTTACACCTCGTTATCACTGATATGCACCCTTTTTATTAGTCCTCTTCGATATCCCTAGTTCTTGTTAATATGAGTCTCTTTTAGTCGTACTCTTCTTCATTGACATATATACTCGTTCCATTATTAAAGTATACAGATGGCCAGTGAATAATATATTGACTTTTGGAATGTTAAGATTATTACTTGTTTTATTGTGTAAAAAGTAAGACAAAATTGTTTTTCATAGACTTTTCGAATGAAATCAGCACACAACTGAAATCAATTTGTTTTCGTTGTTATTTCATATTTCTACTAGATGTTAGGAATTTCATATATTGATTTGGGCAGCGCTGTCTAGTCGTATACTTTACGTAGAAAAAAATTCCTTCATACTCCGAAAAATAAAGAATGAGATTAAGTTGACGGTGTGAAATGAACTGGTTGTTGAGAAAACATTATTCAAGCAGTGTTAGTTAACTTTAAATTTTTGTTATAAGCTGTGTGAAATTATGCCGAAACTTAAGATTTACAATAAGATAAATAAAGACGAATGGATTTTCATTATTACAAATGATCCGGGTTCAAATCTCGAAGTGAACATAAAATCTAAGATGGATGTACATGTATATCTACTTTAGGCGTTCTAAATAGAGCGAAACCCGAGTATTGGATTTCACTGCTAGCTATATATCATAAAATAATCGGACACTATCCCTTCTCGTTGAGAAGTTATCATCCTAAAACTGTGATTTATTTGTTCAACAAATATATTTTTACTAATATATCCAGTGACCGAATATAATAAATTAAAATAATGATTCTCAAAGGGATTTTTTTATGTACAAGCAAATCTCTGGACAAATGGAGAAACAGCATTACAAAGCTTTAATACAGCCTTCCTTCGAGATACTTTCAAACTCAACAAATTCGAGATAGCTCTTAACAACAGGTTCCAAGCCTTACAGGATGTACTGAAAGAAGAAAAAACTAATGCGTAGAACAATTGGAAAGTCGTCAGAGAAGCACTAACTTTAACGTGGCAGAAAGTTCTGGACTGCAATAAGCACCATCATAAGGAATAAATCTCTATGGAAACCCTGAACATGATTCAAGAAAGAAAGAACAAGAAGATAGCGATAAACGACAGTCGAACAAAAACAGAGAAAGTCAAGGCACAAGCTGAATACACAGAAGCAAACAAGAAAGTAAAGAGAAGTATTAGAGCCGACAAATAGAAATATGCGGAAAAAACTGCAAGAGAAGGAAATATTAAACAACCGAACAGATGGGTGGAATACTTCGGGGAACTGTTGAATAAACCAGCTCCATTGAATCCACCGGACATCGAAGTAGCGCCTACAGACATTCCTATAGATGGTCACTCAAACAATCATTGAAAAAATCAGTATGACCGTCAGACAGATCAAGAACGGGAAAGCAGCAGGACCTAAAAATATACCAGGTAAAGCACTGAAGTCACACATAGAAGCAAGTGCAAACATGCTCTACGTTCTATTCAGGCAGACTCGAGAGGAAGAACAAGTACCGATAGATTGGAAAGAAGGATACTCATCAATATATCAAAGAAAGGAGGTCTGAGAACTACACAGGCATAACACTACTATCGACACCAGGAAACGTTTTCAACAGAGTGTTGCTGAACCGGATGAAAGACGCAGTAGACGCCAAAATTTCGAGATCAACAGGTTGCATTGTGTAAGCATCGTTCGTGCACAGACCGAATCGCAACACTGCGGATAATTGTTGAGCAATCAATCGAATATAACTCGTCACTATACATCAAATTCCTTGACCATGAGAAAGCACTTAACAGTGTGGATAGGAGAACGTTATGTAAATTTCATCTTTTTTCCAGAGCATCACTGAATCCCCGTATACTTCGATGAGCGACAATCAGAAGTTGGCTATGTCACCCGTTTAGTTTTTCGTTTTATGAAGGTTTTCCACAACTGAATTATTGACGGTCCGCCATGTAATCCAGAAATTCGAGTAACTGCGGCATGTCTTACCGGTTTCAGCTCCAAGTGCCTTCGAAAAAGTTGATTAACTCTCTGATCTCATCATTTTTTTCAGTAGGATAAAGACTCCATTAAACTACCAAATGCGACCCTAAGCAGTATGACACTGTCAGATAATGAATACACAGAAAAATTTTCGTCAGCCATATAACGTTACTGAAGTCTCCGCCATATCTATTAATTCAGAATGAATAGGCAACCTTGCTGTACTGCATTCGGAAATACTTTTTGAAATCATGATAAAGCTGGATGTTGGTAGTTAAGAACGGTAGTTGATGGATATAAAGCTTAGTGTGGTTTTTCAAACTTATTGAATGTGTACACATATGAATTCCTACTTTTAATCATGAATTACGACATACATAAAGGGAAAAATAATATCAAAGTTCATAACATGAATTGCACAGGGGTAAAGTAAACAAAGTTGGTGATGTTTTGAATGTCTCCTCATCATACCAATAAAGACATTTCTTCAACAGTCCCATATTCTGAGTTGTAGAAAATATCGAAGCTATATTTTTATCAGGCTCACCGTCATGAAGCAGGAAATTCTCTTCCCTCATAGTTGTTTTACATTTACATGACAAGTTTATCGGATTCAACAAACTTGAATTTGATAAGTGTGACTGATGACTATATCATACACGTCGAATTCTCTGTTTCATTCCAATAACAGCTGGAAGTTGAGATAGCACTGCATACAATAAACCAGTAGATGCTGCAGCCACTATTTGATATGCTGCTTCCGCTAGTGATACTTCTCGATTATATTTTTATTCTACTTATTGCTTTATATTCATCTACCTTCACTGAATCTGGAATGCGATTGTATTTCGTTGGCTGTTTTGTAACAATTTCACAAACCCAGTCTACATTTCACTACCCTTTGTTGTTCCCTATCTTTATTGGTGCTCTTATTAATGTATACCCAAAAATATGTATCCCAATATCTTGCCCCGATTGTATGTATATCACACATAAATCATTTATCTTACTGATAATACGACAAAAATAATTTACCATCAAGAAATATAAACAATTAATTACTTTAAAACCAATCAAAATAAACAAAACACAAACAATAGGAGCATCAAATTATCTGCCAAATAATGTCACAAAATGCATTATTTTGATTGGTTGCTAAGACGTTGTTATATTTATAGAAACAATCTTTTATTATGATTGGACAATATTGAAACTGCTTTCTGATTGGGTGATTTTTCTTATATTCATTTTGTATTAACCATAAGAACATGCATTTTCTGACAGATAAATGAATAACCAACTAACCTGTTGAGATCAGTAGTTCATTTCATTTTAATTAAATTGTTACTCAATCAATTATTCTATATGTCCCGTATATTTTTACAATAAAATTGACCGTAACTTGTAAAACAAAAAAAAATAGAAATTTATTATTACTCTACGTGAAAGTTGCTAACATTTATTCACTCATTACTATTGTGAATACATAATTATGTCATCGGAATATCGTTTAGTTGCACTATTGCTATTTGTTACATTATGGATTTATATTATCTATGAAATAAAACATTCATCAATGATTATACTGGGTGGAGAATTTGATCCAGATTGTAAATATAAAATGAAGGTGAGTAATGTTTTTTTTCTTGGCACTGAAACGGATATTTTTTGTGTAAATATGTATGTATATAGTGGTATGTGCTACTCATATCGACAGATATAAGTAGTGTGTTTATATAAAAAAACAGAAACACATTTTTACTCAGCATCATTTGTGTTCAGTATTACTTCCATCTGTAATTCAGTGTGATAAATTGTCCCGTATAATATTCATTATATTTTAGTGTGACATTTATTTAGGTTGATACTCTTTGTATTACCTTAATGTGAACTTCGTTTGTCCATCATACATTTTTGGTAATTCTACGGAATACTGATTTTTTGGTATTTCCTTTATATCAGTTATGTTTGAGTGATATTCATTGACCAATGATCACATGTGAGTACAATCGATTTATAATTGAATGTAGTTTAATTGCATTGGTTTAGGTCGTGTACTACTACTGCTACTACTACGGAGGAGGATGAAATAAATCTTCATTCGCCATCAGTTTTATCATATTCGTACAGTTTACTATCATTTTATCACTGTATTTAAGAATATCTAACTGAAAAAGAATTAAACTAGCGAAGGTTTGTTCTCTGAGCTGGATGGTTTGACCGTTGAACTTTCATCGTTCATCTGAACGTCATCAGCACGAACGTCCGGTAGAAGTGAAGTGTGCGAAGTTCTCCACATATGGCTCACAGCTTGTCCTATAGACCTCGATGTCGAGCTCCACGACCAAACCATCCAGAGAATAAATGTCTATCAAAATCATCCACCTGATCAACAAATCTTCACTATCTCAGAAGAATTAAATTGTAGGTATTATTAAGAAGCAACTATAATCCATATTTATGTGTAAAATAAGTTTAAATATCAATCACATAATACAATAAGCAATTATAAATTGATACTTTTCAGCTCTGAACTTGACTATATGTATGATCGCTTGTAGGTTTCATTTAATGTTTAACTATAAGGAACTTTTCAGGTTATTCATGAGTAATATTTTCATCTCCTGTTTAACCGTAAATTTTGTCGAAGATTAAGTTGTTCACTAAATATGTTAAAATGAGTTCTAATTTCTTATCTGGATAATGTTTTCTTTTGAAGTTATTCGAGATGTTTTCTTTCGACAGTTTCCATCCTATTAAGTTACTTGCTTCGAATAATAATAGTAATATTCTCTAGATATTTAAACAACGTGAAATAAGTTGAAAATCAAGTATTGTGTTGTGCATTATCCGATTCTGACTTTGATATGAAAGCTTCTTAATCCTATATGAAATCAGTACACTCTACTTAATGAAATGCAGTTTTTCTTGATGTAATTGAGTGAACGTTCTAGTTATAAGTAGTGGAGTTTTGTGTTTTTCGATTAATCCAGTCAGAAATAACTTTTAAAATGACTTCATTATTCTCTTTTATACCTTAAACATAAACTAATAAATCTCTAGTATTTGAACATTTCATAATTAAAACGAAATAACTTGGTTTTATTACCAATAAACCAGGCAATATTGTGGATTGATTGAATTTAGACAATAACCCCATTAAATGTCGGTTCACTGATCTGGAGATTAAGTGTTTGGGCGAAAGACCGAATGCTCTGGGTTCGATTATAACCTGTGGGGTCATGGATGTGCACTGCTGAGTAGTCCCATACTATGACGAAAAAGATGTTCAGTACTTCCACGTTTTCAGTGATTGTCTAACCGTCATCGGTTCATACTTTCAATACAACTCAGTAATCGTTACAACCCTATTCTGACAAGTTTTGACAAGTAATCGAAATGTAGACAGAAATAAGTAGGACTAAACATACTTCAGTCTGACTTATACTGTTCATCCTTTCATCAATTAGATTTCTAAATCTTAAAGAGATCAATGGTATACATTGAAAATTGACTGTACTTCATTTCAAAGTGCTTATGTTTCGTCAAAACCCTTCGTTTACCAACAAATTAACCATAATATTTAAAAAAATGATATTTACGTTTACAAGCACGATTACTATAGTAAGCGGAGTATAGTATACGAAATCGATAGTTCATGAACCATGAAAACGTCCTTCTAATGTATGAACTATAATACCATCATTATCATGAGTTCTAATCACTATTTCAATGTTCCAGAACTTTCCCTTTCAAACGTTATTTATTTATTCGAATCAAACATTTTATGAGCTCATTAACTCTATCTGAATCTTTGCTTGCTAGATCATCATACACATGTATTGATCCTTCATCACACTCTTATGTATGTCAATATGTCAATATCTGTAATAATTTGGAATTTCAAATAATTTAGGTTGTAAGCAGCTGATGAGAACCTAACGAAATAAAATGAATTCATGTATTATTCTGCACCAATCTTTGTTCTTGCTCTATTTAAGATAATAAAGGGAACTATGTGTATGAAATATTTGTAAATTATTATCTGGCGTATTTTAGTCAACTTCAGATATATTATTCACCATCGTTCAACAAGACTTAATGACAATGTACTTGAGGTCACTTGACCTTACCCATGGAAATACTCTTTATTGTAATAATGATAATAATTTACATTCCAAATATCGAAAACTATGGTAACTGATTTAAGGTCAAATAGTATTGACAAATTTTATAATAAATATGAGTGATTTCATACACATAGTTCCCTTTATTATCTTAAATAGAGCAAGAACAAAGATTGGTGCAGAATAATAAATGGATTCATTTTATTTCGTTAAGTTCTCATCAGCTGCTTACAACCTAAATTATTTGAAATTCCAAATTATTACAGATATTGACATATTGACATACATAAGAGTGTGATTAAGGATCAATACATGTGTATGATGATCTAGCAAGCAAAGATTCAGATAGAGTTAATGAGCTCATAAAATGTTTGATTCGAATAAATAAATAAAGTTAGAGAGGGAAAGTTCTGGAACATTGAAATAGTGATTAGAACTCATGAAAATAGATTAATGATAATAAAGAAAATAGGAATTGAAATCAGTTAGTTATGAATGACGTAATTTTAAAATTCAGGAAGAGTTGCAATAATGACACAATAAATAAATAAATAGGAGCAAATGAATAGAAAGAGTGGGGGTTATTGTTACCAGGGTAAAGAAAGATTTATTACTGTCTCTTTTTGTATACATAGATCTGATTTTAAACGTTTGATTGCTAACGCTTCAGCGAATTTCAAAAGGTTGGAGTTTGATTGTTTGTTAATCACCTTGAAGGACTTCAGTATATCAACTTCATGTCCTGTATCAAGGAGATGTCTTGCGATAGCACTGTTGAATGCGTTCAATCCATTTAACCTTAAACTTTTCGGAATATGTTCTTTGAATCGGACGTAGGCTCTCCTTTCTGTTCTACCAATGTAACTGCTTTGGCAGGCACATGTAAATTTGTATACACAGTTGGTGGTAACATGAAAGGGATACCTGTCGACCTTTGATTGTGTCAAAGAACATGTTGTTTTGGACAGGACAATCAATTTCGCTGCAGGATAAGTTCTTGTCAGTGCAGTTTTTAGTCTCATATTGATTGATCCTGTGACATCGTCACCTTCGAATTGAAGTTGAATAAAAATAGGCTTTTTATTTGCTGTAATTTCTTTCGGCTTTTTATCTTCACATTTGCCGTATTTCTCAATAAATTTCAGTGGGTATCCGCTATTCTTTAAACATTTTTTAACATTCATAAATTCTTCTAGTGTATCGGAAGTACATATTCTTTCTGTTCTGTGAAACAGTGTTTTGACCAGTGCCTTTTTGTAACTGATTGGACAAAAGCTATTGAAATTAAGATAACTACCATTCCATGTGTCTTTCTTATAAACTGAACGTTGAACCGTACCATCCTTTCTTCTTTTCATCGCGATATCGAGAAAATGGAACTTGCTTTCTTTTTCATGCTCCATAGTGAAATGAATATTCGGATGTGCTTCGTTGAAAAACTCTAGCAGATTTATTGCATGTTGTTTATTATTACATACGATGAAGGCATCATCAACATAGAAGTATCAATATTATTATTACTTATAAATGAAATGATGAGATAGATGTGTCGTAGAAAATTAAAACAATCACTATAGATATTTATATGTGAAAATTCTATTTGAGATAATTTCAGCGATTGAAATTAAAAATCATTCCAACATTTCGTCCAGTAAACTTGTCTGGACTTCTTCAGGATAATAATCAAAATCAACAAAAAATTATATAATGTTTAACAATCAGATCAAATCTTTACTGTGCTTATCCAGTCATATCCAGATGATAAGTCATTTGAAAAGTTTATAGTGTCAAAATAAATGACTGAATGAGTTGTTTGTGTGTGTGTAAGCTTGAGTTAGTTATAGTTCATATTGAGATTAGATGGTGGTTGGAGGTAGTCAACAGGAAACCGTGGACCCCGGTTTCGTGCTACTTGCACTCGTCAGCAAGGTGTACCTGTAATCTTGAGGGAACTGGTGCTCCCTGACCTTGTGTCACCCAGCTTCACAGTCAGAGACGTTACCACTGAGCTATCCGAGCCACAGTAGCTTTCGATCTGCACTAACGAGGACTAGACACTCATGAAATTGATCATCACCCAGTGATCAATCAACCGTGATTACATCTCAGTCCTACAGGAGGTCGGTCGCGGCTCGGATAGCTCAGTGATAACATCTCTAACTGTGAAGCTGGGTGACACGAGATCGAATCCGTCAGGGAGAACCAGTCCCCTCAAGATTACAGGTACACCTTGCTGACGAGTGCCAAGTAGCACGAAACCCGGGTCCAGGGTTTCCTGTTGACAACCTCCAACAACCATCTAATCTCAATATGTAGTGCCTGCAGTGTCGAGTCACCTAGACTGGTGGCCACATTACACCATGATCGATAGTATTCAATCTGCACTAACAAGGACTAGACACACATGAAATTGATCGCCACCCAGTGATCAGTCAATTGTGAATAGTTGATATTCGATGTTAATTTGTTTTTCTGTGAAGGGAAATAAAAGTGCAATTTA